ACACGGGGTGTCTCTATTTTTTTTTTTTTTTTTTTTGCGGACGTTGATGCACTATGATTAGTGGCTTTACATTTGTGTAGGTCCCATTTCATAGGTATGTGTAATATTTTGAAAAATTTGTATGTTCAACATTAACGCTACTAATTATAACCTTATGGAATTATTAAGCCTCGCCTCGCATTTCACAGGACTACGCTTTCCGGTCGTGATGCTGACCGCCGTAATTGTGCTGCGGTTCGTTTTGGTTTTCGCTGGTCCGCCGTTTGCAGCTCGCAGTTCGCCGTTCGCAGTTCGCTTAATGCTTTCAAGTTTCAATATATCGTCGATGGGCGCCCACATACTTTAACTGCAGATAGCGCAGTTCAAGGCTCGTCGGCCAGTGGTTAAGCCCCCTAATTGCGTGGCCCGTGACGCCAGATGCTCGGTGCTCGGTGTTCTCTGCTGTGTCGAGTGTGTGTAAGAGTCCCGAAAGTGTGTCAGATGGGGAAATGCGGAGGGATCGGGGCGACGTGTGTTGCAATTTCTGAATCGCTTAAGTTGTTTCTGTTTCTGCGGTCGATTTTCCATTAAATCGAATCGCCCTGGCACTCGTATTGGTTTTGCGGTCATATCACCGCCGTCCGGTGGTCATCTGCACTCCCCATCCAATTCAGCATCCCCATCCCCATCCACATCCCACCACATCATCGGCTGTTGTAATGGCCGTGGTGCTCAGCTATCGAGTGTTTTCGGTAGTCAAGGAAATGGACTGGCCATTCCGCTGGGGGATTCTGTCCGTCAGTTTTTCGAGATATCGGAGGACACAACAAAGTTGCTCGACGCAGGGTAATTCCGTTCGCATTTTCATAGCGGTTCAATATGAGGGACAAAGTTCAGGAATAAGTCCGGAAATGGAAATGAAGCTATGCAACAATGTTTCGCCGTTCAAGGAACATAAATTATTCTTGCGTGGGGGGAGGGAGGCTTGTCATAGTTGTATTATGATGTTTAGTGTTTAGTTTCTGCTAGACTCTTGCAGAAGGGGGATTACGATTAAGGCACCCACCCACTCTCAACCCGTTTCGGTGGCCTTGATGTTTCTGCCCTGCCCTCGAAGCGGCCGAAGGTTCGCCTCCTCCATGTCCTTTGTGCAGCGAAGTGCAAAACTTTTCAATGGGCAGCCGAGTGGAATTGACTGCACACGTAACCGAACCGAGCCGAAACGCAGGAAAAGTGCTTTTGGCGATGCCACAAGCTTTTCCCTCTCTCCAGACCTTTTCCCACTCCTTTTCCCAAGACTTTTAACGAATTTCATTTAACAAACTGCGGCTCCCCGGACACATAAAAGGTGTCGCACCAGAAAAGGCGAAACAACGACCACAAATGCGCCAATTGTGTGTGTTATTTATGGCTTTAGGTGTGTGTGAGTGTGTGTAAGCACAGAGAGAAAATTGAAAGGACCAAGTCAAAAGAATAAGTCATTTCAGAAATATGAAACTTCGCCTAAAACATGTGAAAGAGAAACATAAAAAAATATATTTGTAAATATTAGTACAAAATATAGAGAGACGATTTTCCCACAGTGCCGTTTCCGTAGAACGCTCGTTGATTATTTATGGGCCACCGAAAACGGGAACATTCATTAAATTTGTATACAACCGACGGGTATGAGGATGTTGAATATTTGTGCTGCGCTTGTGCTGGTAAATTGGTACATTCTATTTACGGTCTTGCAAAAGAATGGGTTATGAACGCCCTGTTTACCCCGTCATCCACTGTACATACTGGTATACTCATTAGCGCGTTGCCCGTTATCATCAATTTGCATTAAATAACGAAACGCTAAAAAAATTTAACGACTAAACAAATTGCCAACTCCCCAACACAGTGAAAACAACAACAGAAGGAGCGATGGGGGAGGGAGGAGGATTGGGTGGGGATTCCCCATTTTCCGTTGATTAACAGTTTGTGTGCTGTTCCCCTTTGCCCCCTGAACTCCACCCCCTCTCTTCCTCCGAAAGGGTGTGTGCTGGGGGGTGGTGCCTCTTGATGTATTTATTTATGCGACACGCGAAATGATAGATTTCTGCCATCCACATATTTATCAAAATGAAAAGCAGCAAGGAAAGAAGAGAAACGAAAACAAAGCTCAAGGGAACTGGCATTTCCGAGCTGCGGATGTCGCTGTAACACTGAAAGAAATGGAGGGTACTTCAAGGAAAGGGTATTCAAGTATTGAATTAGAAATAATCGAGCTTTGAATACCATACCAAATTCTGCGATATTTTTAGATACAGAGTGAAGTAAAAAAGTGTGAGAAATAGACTTAGTTATTCGAATAAACTTTTAATAGAGGATCATAACAAATAATACATATTTAAGTGATGTATTTTTAGTCAAAGGGTACATATACAAAGAAATTTAAAAATCAAAAAGCTATATGTTTTAGCCGCTGTGCACTTTCTCACACTAGTATTTGGTATTGACTGAGTTGGGGCAGGCCATGTGGCACTTTGGTGGCACTGCAGGGCAGCGAGAGCATGAATTTTTTGTTGGCCTTTCAGAGCAATGTCAGGACGCGAGCTGAATGCCAAAAATGCGCTGATAAATTGTATGACATGGCATCATGTGTCACACGTGGAGAGGGGAAAACGCTGGCAAGTAGGCAAACGAATCGGGATTCGGGAATCGGGAGGACAAATACAAATAGACGTGCCAGGTTTTTCGAGGAGACGACTCCGCTGAGGTGACTGTGACGGGCTGTCAGATTCGAGAAGTGGGAAATAATTTGAATAATCCCTATTGTTGAGGGAATTTGTCTAGCTTTGGATTCGGGTGCGGATCGCACCTGATTGCTGGCGGGGAATGCGCTGAAATATTTCATCTTTATGGCTTTAATATCCTGTGTGGCTGCAAGCAGCTGCCAATATCCTGTCTGCACTTTGCTAAATTTTAAGGGATCAAAGAGGAGTTTTCCCATCCCCCAGATCAAACATATTAACTTAATATTCCGCTGGCCCCCGACATTGCCAACAAAAGGGAGCGTTATATGAGCTTGTTTGTATGAGTATGAAATGACATTTTAATGCCACGTTATATTTTCATTGTTGTTGCTGTTTGTCACCGTCGTCTTTGTCGTTGTCGCTGTTGTTGTTGTCGCCATCATCGTCCTGACGCTGCGCCCTCACGTCCTGTGACGCAAGGATTCAGTCGGCGAGCGAGCTTGGAACGCTTTGTGGCAACATGTAAAATCCATTTATTTTGACATGAAACACATAAATCTATATTTGATCCATTCCTTTTTGCTTCAACTTTCTGTGGAGGGTGGAAGGTGTGAAGTCATTTCCTTAGCTATATAAATTCCCATCTCGGCTTTGTCTGCTTTAAAAAATCAAATTTGACGTTTGTTATAGAAAACGACATTTATGCTTTTCAATTTCACATTGCGTACACCCTTCCCTAATTGAACTTAGCCGGGGATAAGACCCTGAGTGCGTCGAATCGAATCGAATGGAATGCAATCCAGATCGCCTGCCATCGATGATGTGCTTCCGACTCCTGACAGCTGCACACACTGCATCATTGTGGGTGAGCTTCTGGTGTAAGTGGTGCCCATGCAGCATAATTGATTGCACATAGCGTTGCAACTGCAGATACTGGGGCTACATCAGTGGTGCATCTAGCATTGCAACATAAACACATCGCAGCTGAGTGCCACGCCCTCCTGAGCCACGCCTTTGTGCCAAAAACATTGTGTATCATTAGTACTCTTCAATTTCGGCCAAGATCCGCCTGTTTGAGAATTTCTTTTCGACTTGTTATATCGATTTATAAAGAATTTCACTTTGACTAAATAGTTCAATACAATTTGGTGGGTGCATTGTTTTGGTAGCTATTTCAAAAGTCTTTAGGGCTATGCAAAAGTAAAGCCTTTTAGGATACTTTTGTTTTTCTAGAGAAATTAGATTTATATTATATTATTAGTATTAGTAATCTTATTTAAGAGCACTTGGCTGACGTTAATATAATACTTTTTACACCTAATTTATTTATCAGTATAAGCCTGCTATTAAATCCACAATTATTTTAATAATGTTTTAGTTATCATCCGGCTCGAAGGAGCATAATAAATTTAAAGTGGTGTGCAATAATCATAATTATACTATCCCTGGAAGCTTTCGAAATAAATCTTAAATCTACTTTAGAGCATTCCAAACGCGACTCTGCGAACAGTTAATTTGAATTATGTTGTTACGAATGTTGCAACAATATTTGCTCCGCAAATGTCGTTTCGAAGCCTGCGACGAGGGAGGACTCTAATTCTAGATGTGATCCTGATGCCGGGATGCGGTCCCTGCTGCTCTGCTGTTGCTTCAACAGCATGCTGTTTCTGCTTGGCCTGCTCTTCGATGATTAATTATATTGCCTTTGTTCCATTTCTACTGCGTCTTTTGCAATCCCACTGGCTGTGCCACTATTTGTTATTGTACGCGTTTGTGTGGGCGTGTGGGTGTTGCAACTTATTGGGCCTCCCGCCCGTATCTAGTTTAATTTATACGTATCTGCGTACTTATGTATGTTATATTCCTGTGCTCGCATTTACAATTTACATTGTTCGCCAGCGCTGCATTTAAACAATGCGGTTTAACACTCCCCACTCCACACGCACACGTTTATTGTATTTGACATTGTTTCAAAAGTTAAGTTGGGCTGTGGCCACATCAGCTCACAACTTATATAATCCTGGAACATCCGTGTGCGTGTGAGCAATGAAATCATAAATCTGGCACGGCAATTGTAATCATGTTCTCAACAACGAACGTAAGCAGTTAAATAGTTGTTGCATCTGCCAACACCGGCAGATCCTCTTAATAAATAATAAATATATTACACAGGCAAAAATATTCAAATAAATAGCTAATTAAATTCAGAGATTCAGATAACACATTACTACAAACTTTACTTTATATTTTCCTGAAATAAATATTTCTGATTGAACATACAGAAGGCCCTGTGAAATTTTTCCATAAGCACAGAGTTTTAGCTATCGTTTGGAGCCAAACAAAATTATTGTTGAAAAATAATTTTAAAATAAAAAGACCATAATGCTTTCCGTAAGGCGAGTAAGGGCTAAAACCAGTGTCAAAAAGAGGACCACGGGTAGGAAAGTGCCCAAAATGGATCCACAGCAGCAGCGTTACTTGAAGACCCGCTTCAAGACCACTCGGCCCAATTCAAAATCCTCCGTGCCACCGAACCAAAGGATTTGGCGGCGAACTGTAGTTCAGACGAAACCTAAACAAAAATCAAAGATCCCCAAAATATTCCGCATGGATCGTGTTACGGGTCTTCCTGTGGATTACGAAAGAACTGTTCAGCGGGTAATGCACTATGTGAATCCCCATTTGAACAATCCACCCAGTGAAGAGGAAGTCCTAGAGGAGCTGCTGACCAAAATGTTCGCCCAGTTGATACGACGGGGTTATGAGAGTCGTGATCAGGTCACTCGACTGCGGTCCTTTTTCAAGGACAACTGCAAATGCCAAAGGATTAGCCACTTGCTCAGCAGGAGCGAGCAAAACATGCGCGAAGCAAACGAGAACTTATGTAATTTCCACAGTGCTTGGTGAGCTATAAATAACAGCCTATGTTATTAATATATAATTTACTTATTTATAAAATTTTCCCAGCAAACGAGGACCTCGTCAAATTCTAAACCCCAATCTTGGTCCCACATACATGAGTAGGTTCAATTTCAACCAGTTGAGGATCAAAAGCACCTAATTAAAGGTGCGAAGGTGCATTGTTTATAATGTCCAAGGATGTAATTTTTCGGTTATTTCAATTTGGGAGTATAGCAGAAAGTCAATAGATGAAAGTAAAGCTTTTCAATAAAATATTTTGCACTTTTACAACGATATTTCTATCAGTCTCTTTTATTTCTTTGCCTATCAGATTTTTGAATATATAAAACAACAATAATAACCACTTAATAAAAACCCACAGATCGGATAATTGATATTTCACGTCAAACAAACTGTTATTAAATGTAATTTTAAAGCATCGCTTGTGCGTTTGGGTAATCTAGTTATGAAATTTAAGTCCTTAAATTGCACAGTCTGCTAAATGGGAAAATTTCTCTGCTCCAATGCTTTCTCCCTCTCAATGAACGAATATTTCACCTTCCACGTTTAAATGGCCTCAAAGGCAAACATCAGATGCTGGAGCTGTGCCTTAAATTAAATTTCAAAATTGCATTAGAGAACTGTGTTCAAGTTTGTGTGTGGTCGTGCAACATAGCTATGCTACATTTTGTGTAGAGGCTCTCGTAAAAATAACAACTGCCGTAAATAAATTCGTTCAAAGTGCAATGTCGAATGGTCAGTTAGGGTCATTCCGGCTCATATCTATGAATTTATTTGCGCTCGCAGTGCAAAAATGAAATGAGATTTATGGCTAGTTGGTGTGGGTGGGATGTGGGCGGTGGCATGCGGCTTTGATCCGTCGGGGTCACCAAAACTATTGGCGGCAGTTCATCCGGCCAACCGACGACCACAGTTTCAGCTTTGGCAATTATCACCGCACACAATGGCCCTCGAATGCATTTAACAAATTGAATATAAAGTTCTACATAGCCTTTGCCTTTGCTTTTGCTTTTGCCGTTTACCTTGGCAAACATCCAATCAGTGGGCAAATCTTTTAATTAAGAAGTTTGCTCGCTCGAGGCGGGGCTACGTGAGCTTCACTCTGACTACCGGTATAATAAAATTCACGCTAAACTTAACTAATTTCGCGAAAACTCGATTGAACGTAAATAAAACCCAAATGAAAATTTCACAGCAAGACGCCTTTGGTTTTCCAGGTCTCCTTTTCCTTGTTGCCTTTGGCTGAACGCGAATCAATGCGTTTGCGAATAATTCATAAAGGAGCAAAAAATAATATCAGTCGAGCGTGCTAACAACTTGGCTGCCACGCCCACACCCACCACCCACCACCCACCTCCTTCTCTGCCAACCTTCCACCTTTATTTCGAATGGAAGGAAGGCGAAGCTGTCGGCTTTAGTTATTGATGAGGCTGCTGTGCGTGTGCCGGCAGAAAATGGCGCTTTTGCGGCATTACGTATACGTAATATGCAATCAATTCTCGCACAAAGAAATCTGTTCGGTTGTATGCAGATTGCATAAAGGGTTTTTGAGCCTGCTCGGACAGTAAAAGCTGCTTTCAATATGACACGGCATGAATGCTACCTGCAGAGAGAAAAACATTAAGCTTCCATACTGCAAATGGAGAAATTCTTTTCAATTAAAAATATATTTATGTGGGGCTTCTGTGTTTATAACTCTTTGGAATGGCAGATATCAACAGATAAGCTATTAATGTGCAATAATTCTTAAATCCTAGAAAACAAGAATAAGGGCGGAGTGAAGACAGAGGTTATCTGGTTATACCCGTTACTCGTAGAGTAAAAGGGTATATTGTATTCGTGCAAAAGTATGTAACAGCTAGAAGGAAGCGTTTCCGACCCTATAAAGTATATATATTCTTGATCAGGGTCACTAGCCGAGTCGATATAGCCATGTCCGTCTGTCCGTCTGTCCGTCTGTCCGTCTGTCTGTCCGTCTGTCTGTCTGTCTGTCTGTCCGTATGAACGCTGAGATCTCGGAAACTATAAAAGCTAGAAGATTGGCATTTTGCATGCAGATTCTAGGAGTTCCTACGCAGCGCAAGTTTGTTTCAAAAAGGTGCCACGCCCCCTTTAACGCCCACAATCGGTAATATACGATTTTAAAAATTTAAATATTTCGGAAAAGTAAAAATGCAGTTTTATTGTGTTTATCAATACCTATCGAAATGTAGAAGATTTTTCAAATCGGACCATTCGTTAAAAAGTTATGCGTGATCAAAGTTTCTATCTCCATCTCCCTCGCACTCCCTTTACCTGATTAACGGGTATCTGATAGTCAGGGCACCCGACTATAGCGTTCTCTCTTGTTTTAAATAAGATCAGTGTAATAGCCTCTTCATAAAACCAAACAGTTTTCCCAAGTTAGCTTTTGAAAAATAAAACAATGGAAGAAATCAAAATATGATATCATTTAATAGAAATATTGTAGTTAGTATAAAAAGTACTGATTTCACTTATGATAGTCATAAATTCGCTTACAATTATATTTCTGATCCCAACGTTGCTTTAGGTTAACTGATAAAAAATTCGTAGAATTTAATTAGGAACTGAAAACAGGAACGAATTGAATAAATAAGGTAGCTTTTCAGTTAAAATTATGCTTTTTGGAACAGTGCTCTAGTTGGAGAGGCTATCGATGGCGGGGAGTGGCGCCTAAAGCGCAGCAGCCACGCCCATTAGTTATTCGCTGGAAATTATGCCAAAGTGTTTGGCCAACACCACCCACTTTGCCTCTTTTTCGCCCTTCGACGATACTCATTGCTCCTCATTGGGCGCGACAGCTAAAAAGCCAGCTGCGATGCATTGATGTCAATGATGGCGACAAGTGCACTCCGCTCCTCATCCGCATCCGCGCCCGCGTCCGCATCCGCATCCGCATTGTGCCGCTGTCAGGGGCGGGAATCGATCGAGTGGTTGGGTGACTAGCTGGATGGCTGGATGGCCCGGAGCTGGAGCTATTGGCTCTGGCCAGAGAGATTGGGGCTGGGGCCACTTGAGCCAAGTTGACAGACAGCTCGCAACGAGCGCGCATTTAACATTGTCTGAACGAGTGCCATTGTGGAGCACTTTTGCAGCAGCACTGCCAATATATTTTCGCCACCGAACCAGGAGTCCCGTGCGTGCGGAAAGTCGGTTAAGCGTCTGGTAAATACGCCAAGTAGCCAAGTAGCCAACTAGACCCAGTCACCAGTTCCCATCCTCCGCTCTTTGTGGGCACTAATTTGAAGGGGCAGCTCCATTCTGAAGTGCATGCCTCTCCTCTGGCATAATTTGATGCGTTTTTAAAGGCAATTCCACGCCGTTTTGCGCAATACATTGGCCGGAACATTGCCAGCTAGCAACTGCTGACCCGAGGAAATGTACTCTTCAAAAGCTTTTGCTAAAGGCTTGGCCAAATTGGCCTGGAGGCCATCATAATCGGGAGCAACAAAGCAAAGACGACAGGGTAAATATTCGAGTGGATAATTATGATGAGGCTCTGCCTACACTTAGTGAAAAATTGTTAGTGATTGATATGAAGTACTGAATAAGTCTAGTTAGTCTTTGGAAACAACCGGATTTCTATAAAGAAATGCTATATCATCTAAGCTTATATTCTATTTGCAACAGAAAGAAGACTCTTTGCAGAGTTTCATTCAAATAGTTTTAAAACTTATGGCCTATTTTGCATAGAAACGGATGCTGACTGAGAATATATATACTTTATTGGGTCGAAAATGTGCCTTTTACTGCGTGGCAAACTTTTGACTGCAATTAAAATACCCTTAGTAGGAAAATAATCACCTATTTCTTTTCATTGCAATTGAAAGCCCAAGGTAAATGTAATTGCATTTCAGATTTTTGGCAAAGATTACTTTTTCGCAAGTGTAGGCACTTCAGAAGAGGGCAAGCCGTCAGACGGCCGTCCAACTTAAAAATGTATAATTTAATTTTGCGGAAAATAATGTTGCGCGTGGCCGCTGAATATTCATGGCTAATTTATCAGCTGTCCTCCCCGTTGCGACTGTGACTCTTGCTCCGGCTGCTAATTAGCATTTACAAGAGCTAATTGGCATAAATACCCAAGGAGCTGGACAGAAAAGCATCCTCGAGAGGCTGCTCCATTTGGCAGTGGAGTGCCACGGCCTTTGGCCAGGGAATCCTCATGGTTCGGATGTCCAGATGGATTGCTCTATCTCCCTGCACCTCGCTTTTCCATCCACTCAAAGGATGTTTACTTTGGGCGAATGCGTGTCCACTTAAAGCTTAGCAGAAATGTCGAAAAAGAATCCTGTTTGCCCAGCGAATGAGTACTGCTCATTGAGCAGGGCTTACATTCCCGTTCCAATCTGGAATCATCCTTATACCCCTGCGAAACGCGCTGTTTGCTCAATTCTTTGTTAGGGGCGTGTTCCGACCCTTGAGAGCTGAAATCTTGTTCTATCGTCTTTCGAGTTCTATTTAACTTGCTTCAAAGTTGACTTATTTTCTTGCTCCTTTAACCGCGTGCTTTCGTTGCAATAGAAATGAAAACTTCATATCTGCAGTGAGGTGCTGTTTTGTCCACACACTAATGATTAATTCAAACATGATAAGAGATTAGACAGTTTGCTTATCACTGATGTCTAATGGCTCGGCGTGCTCACCTTGGGTTTTGAGACCTTTTCTTGGGAATGGGAACTGGAAATGGACCTGGTCACTGGGGGTGGTTGCTGCGTGTTGCCGGCCAAGTAAACAAACTAGCTGACCCCCATCGCACTCGTCAGCGGCATTGTGTCCTGTTGCTCTCGAAATCCCACCATCCGCTTGATTGCTTTTGTTGTCCTGCTGTTGGCTTGCAACAATATTGAGATATCGTCTCAAGTGTAAATTGTTATTGACACTTTACGTGGCGAACGCTCCAGTTCGGGTTGGTCCTCCGTTCAGCAGAAATATCATCATCGCCACCTCCCTCACTCGTCCAGTTATTTCTCTATGGCTGTTGCTGTTGTTTACTTCGAGGCATTTGTTAGCTTTGTGCATTTGATCTGCGACAAAGAACGAAGCAGATGTCCAGCCTTCATCTCGGTCTTTGCTGCAAATATTAATTAAACTGCAAAATTTATTTTCTTCTCTTTATGGGGGATGCAGTTAATTAAAGACGAGCAAAATGCATGGAGATGTCTCCATGGAAGTATTTCGAATGAAGAAATCTCTTTAAGCCTTTTCCGTCACATGAATCAGAATGTCGGGTTCAGCATGAGTAGGGTGTCATTGTCTCAAAGTCAGAACTTCACTTGTGCCGACCTTCGTGAGTCAATTGTGTATTCAAGAGTCGGAAGACGAAAATGATTCAATGGAACATCATCTGCGGACCCTCTGCTTCCATACACATAAGCTGGGAAATTCGCAGTAAAGTGAATCGTTTCCTTGAGCTCATTTCAATATTCTGTTTAAGCATTTTATAATATTATCATTGTGCCTTTTATATTAAATTCCAAGCAGCCAGTGACGACGCACGACCAGCAGATTCATTTTTTATGTGCCATCCTTGGCACGACGACTCTCCTCCTTTCGGCTGAGTATATGTTAATAAAGTGCGTAAACTCGACCAAAATATGTACATTGGAGGCTTGGGAAATATGCATGATTGTGTTACGCCCATAAAGCAAACACACGTACGGTCGGGAAATACTCGCATGCATGCGGAAAGGACATAAACAAGGCCGAATGACAAGAAAATCGTATAAAACCCGTCCGTTCTGCCCGCTGGCAGCCGTAAAGTGCAACGCAGTCGCAAAATAAAGAAATATGGAGTCAATAAGAGCAAATGTTCCGCCCCGATCCGATAAGTGAGCAGCCAAATTGCCATTTTCTTAAGATTCAAGAAGGAAGTCGTCGAAGGATGAATTAAAGGCATCCTTAGATGGGATATTTCCTGTTTCAAAATGACATAAAATCGACCCCAAAATACAAACCAAGTTACAAATACAGATTTTTAGAGAATTAATCCACAATCGTTTTGAGGTGTGCCACTTTGAAATCGGATGTCTGTAAGAAAAGTTATAAGCTTAGAAGTGCAGGTTTTAGGTCACTTTTCTGCAAGGCCATTTATAGAAAATTTGGAAAGGGGTTACATTGTAAAAGTGACCAAAAATCGACCCAAAATTTCAAACCAAGATGAGTACACAGATTTTTAGGGGATTTAATCACGATCATTTTAAGGTATGCCATTTTGAAATCGGATGTCTGTAAGAAAAGTTATATGCTTAGAAGTGCAGGTTTTAGGTCACTTTTCTGCAAGTCCATTTTTAGAAAATTTGGAAAGGGGTTACATTGTAAAAGTGACCAAAAATCGACCCAAAATTTCAAACCAAGATGAGTACACAGATTTTTAGGGGATTTAATCACGATCATTTTAAGGTATGCCATTTTGAAATCGGATGTCTGTAAGAAAAGTTATATGCTTAGAAGTGCAGGTTTTAGGTCACTTTTCTGCAAGTCCATTTTTAGAAAATTTGGAAAAGGGTTACTATGTAAAAATGACAAAATATCTACCCAAAATTACAAAACAAGATAAGTATACAGATTTTTAGGGGATTAAACCACAATCATTTTAAGGTATGCCATTTTGAAATCGGATGTCTGTAACAAAAGTTATAAGCTTAGAAGTGCAGGTTTTATGTCACTTTTCTGCAAGTCCATTTTTAGAAAATTTGGAAAGGGGTTACTATGTAAAAATGACGAAATATTGACCCAAAATGACAAAACAAGATGAGTATACCGATTTTTAGGGGATTAAACCACAATCGTTTTATGGTATGCCATTTTGAAATCGGATGTCTGTAACAAAAGTTATAAGCTTAGAAGTGCAGGTTTTAGGTCACTTTTCTGCAAGGCCATTTTTAGAAAATTTGGAAAGGGGTTACTATGTAAAAATGACGAAATATCGACCCAAAATTACAAAACAAGATGAGTACACAGATTTTTAGTGGATTAAACCACAATCGTTTTAAGGTATGCCATTTTGAAATCGGATGTCTGTAAGAAAAGTTATAAGCTTAGAAGTGCAGGAGTTTGGTCATTTTTATCAAGAAAAGGCCCATAACCTCGATGTGCAGGTTTTTAGCAAGGACATTTTTCGATATTATATTTTCAGTTCTATCAAAATTGATAAGTTAGGAATGGTCGGCGCGGCACATCGCTAATCCCCTTCAGAGAAATTCGCCCACAAAGTCCAACAGTCCTTCATTGTGAACTAAGCCTTAAACCTTTGCCAATCCTGCAACTTTCTATTAAGCATAATTTGTTTTCATTACACAAAAGTTGTGCTGAAAACTTTCTCTCTATTCCCATGCCCAACAGAAATTTAATTGGGCCTACGCAGAGGAGTAGGATGAAATTTATTTGCATGGGGCCTCCTCATCACAAAGTCTAAAATCATACAAAATCAGAAGCCAAAAATCAAAAAATTGCCCCGGGCCTGTTATTTGTTCTACTGGAGAAAGAGCAGGGGAACGATGGTTCAACAACCACAACAAACTTACAATCAAAGTTAAATGTAAAACTTTGCAGGCCGAGGTCGAAGTGGAAGTCATTTTCATTACTGTCGCGGCGATTATTCAGCGAGTGATTTGTGTTTGATCTCTGGACCACTTTAAAGGGGGCGTTGTTAAACAAATGATTTGCCATCGAGATGGGCATGGGAATGGGAATGGGACGGTAACAGTTCATTTGCCTAGCCTGCGAGTCAACTTCTAGTGCTCTAATGAACGATATCCTGCCAGATATCCTGTCGGGTATCCAACTGGCAACTGGTTTCGGCCCCAAAAGCGAGGCTAATATGCAAAGGCTCTTATCTGAAGTGTGACGTGGGTAGGCGATGCTCGATGCTCGATGGTGATGGTGATGATGGTTCGGTCCAGTCAAAAACAAACCCGCACAAAGCCGGAAAACGTGGCAATTGTGTGCCGGCCCAGCATCTCCGAGCCCCTGACGTCCTCCTCTTCTGCACCCAGAGAAAGGTTGGCCCAAGACTTATGTCCAAATCATAGTGATTTTGGCTCTGGCAATGGAAAAATCATTGAACATTCATACAAGCTTTAATAGATTTTATAGAATAATTTTAATGAGTTTTTTTTATATCTGCCTTGCAAAATATACTTTAACTTCTTTATTTAAGGGTTTAATTTTAAAGTTTAAAAGTTGGCCTAAGACTTATGTACAAATCATAGTGATTTTAGCTCTTGCAATGGAAAAATCTTTGAGCATCAGCTTTAATAGATTTTATAGAATAATTTTACTCGGAAATTTAAGAGTTGTTGAAGACTGATTAAAACTAATGATCATAACTATAGTTTTGTAATACTTTTTTGTTTTAGATTATTTGTATTGTTTTTAATCGATCTAATATCTAAATATTTTTTTTACCATGTAGTTCTCGCAGGGGCTAAGGCGAAAATTGCCATTGTCTTGGAATCGTTGTTAGTGTCGTTGCCAAAATACCAATATTCATTTGTGTATAAGCTGTGAAGGTCGTTTTATGAGTCCAGCCAAACCGCAACAAGCCGCTCCATCGCTCCGTTCCCCCAAATCCAGCGAAGCGTGTAGTCCTGTAGTCGTGTAGCCCAAAAACCCAGACTCAAGCCCAGGACCCTGCCATTCATTTGGTTCGTTGTGCTTCATTCATTAGCTTGCTTTCCGTTTCCGCTTCATTCAATTCTCTCGATGCCTTCGCCAGTGCCTTTTCCACTGACTTAATGCCGTCGACATCGACATCGACATCGACTTGGACCCGCAACCGTAACCGTAACCGTAGCCGTGGTCTATATCCTGCGTTAAATGTTGGCTGCTGTTTATTTCTATGCGGCAATTTTCGGCTGACTCCTCATAGCCCTCTACTCCTCAGTCCCCACTTCGCAATTCATTTTCAATTTATCTTGCCTAATATCGACATGCTTTTAGGTATCGCCTTACCAGGATGCTTGGCTCCACCCCAAGAAAGGAGGCGACTCGGAATGGGGCATGGCGTATGGTGTATGGCATCTCGTGCAGCTTTGCTGCCAGTTCACTTCTTGGCTTATCGACTTTTATTTGAGCATTATTTCAGAATTAATAATTCAATTTCGAGACGCTGAAAGTGGAGCAGGCCAAAGACTTTTGGTTGCGGAGCCATTGCAAACTTTTCAATTTGGGCGCTTCTTCGTTGTGAGCGGCATTTCGGCAGCCGAATCTCAAATTCCGATTGATTCATTTGTGTGTCAACTGCACTACACAACGACCATTTGCTCGCTCCCATTGTGGACGCTGTAAATCTTTTGTTGCACTGGCCTCGCCGTCGAAACCCCCACTTTTTGTATTAACAATTCCGGCAAAGTGCTACTCCAGCCAGCTCAGCCGGCTCTGCCCACTTTCATCTATTTTAATAAAGTTAAAAGCCACCCGAAACTGGCTTGAGCTCTGCCACACAGATAAAAACAATAGTATGGTTTTAAAGGGCAGAAAATATAAATATATAAAAACGATAGGAAATGCTATAACATTAGTGTTTTTAAAGTTAGGAAGTTGGGATTTTTTATGAGTATTAAGAATGCAGATTACAATTAAGGAATATTCTGCAAGGGCCTAAGTTAGCTTTCCTTTCTTGTTAAATATGATGAAGTAATTAAAAAGAAATTTTGCCTAAAATGAGTCAAATCCGGATTTATTTTTAAAACGGCAAACGAAATTATTTACTTCTCTGGCAAAAGCGTTCAAATCAGTAAACAATACTTATGCGACAATGAAAAATACGCCTATTCTTGTTTACTATTATCAGGGGAGTATACATAGCCATGTCCGTCTAAAAGATTATGCACACTTCTCTCACTGATAATGACTCTTTTATGACCATTTTTCAAAACACTTCTCTCTTTTCACAAAATGTATATGCCAGAACCAAATATTTTCTAAATTATATTACGAATGAATAGAAAATTTATATTTCAAATTGTTTCATGCTGATTTATTGGCACCATACTTCACCTATAGTTATAAATTCAATCGTATTTAAAACTTATAAGTCGAGCTTACAGGATTTAAGTTAAAGTACAGAGTTCTTCAGTAGATTGCACACTTGTACTCCGGATTCATAAGCGCCGACTGGGAGCAGTTAAAGACCCAGGAGAACTCTTGGAAGTTGGACAGTGAGCCAATTACCCGGTACTTGCTTGGTGCGTGGCTGTCGGTCTTAGCTATGCCGGTCTTAAAGAGCGACTGGACATCATCGCACAACAACTGAGCGTATCCCACAAAGAACAGCTGGCGGCCATTAAGGGACAGACCCTCCATGGTCTCTCGTTGACGCACTTCCTCCGTCTGCTTTCCCAGCCAGAGCTGATAGGCGGCATAGGCCAACTTAACGCCTCCATTGTCTGCGATGTTTTCCGACTGCTTCTCCCTGTTCGGGAGTGGCAATCCGCCGTACTGGTATTTGTGGTACTGCGCCTGAAAGCACTTGCGCCGCTTATCGAACTCATATCGCGACTTGGTGTCCCACCACGGTGCCTTGCTAGCAGCAGCATCGTATTCTTTTGCACTGTCATCGAAGCCGTGGAGCATCTCGTGGGCGATCACGTAGCCCAAAGTGGCGTATTTAAGGGCCTCCGGATACTGGTCCCCCCACAAATATCGGGGCTGCAGCTGAGCCACCGGAATCGTTATGTTGTTCTCCGCATTATTATAAAAGGGTACATAGCTAAAATCCTTTATCGGCTCGTTGATCCGCGATCTGCTGATCTTGGCAATGAGCAACTTCTGAACGTTCTTTACGTAGTTAGTTCGATCAATAGTCACCGCACCAAAAATCTCCTCGATATTCTCCGTGTCGTAGGAGTTTATGTGCAGCTGCATGCGGTCTAACTTCACGATGGCCAGCGTTCTAGTGGCATTAGATATCCAGTTAAATTTGTCGCCCATCAGCTGCTGTCGGAAGAGGCCTCTGATCTGCTCCCAGATATTGAAAACTTCCGACTCTGCGGCCGCGCTGCGGTACCTCTCGTATACTGCATGTTCGGCAACCTGGGAAAAGTACTTTTTAGTGTTTTCGGTGCACCACGTGGACATGTCGCCGGCTTTGGCGTCTATCAGATACTCCTCAAGCAAAGTCAACATTATAAAGTTTGCCTGTGTAGCCGACGGTGTGCTGTGCATTGTGAGAAGCACATTGTTGATAAACTCTTCATCAGGAAGGCATAGGAGGTCCGGGATGTTCTCCTCGCCGAGAATCAGACTCAGAAATTCAGTGAAGTTCAGGTAGTTGCTATACTTCTCTTGAAGTTCGTCCAGAAAGTTCAAAGAGCCTGTGCCGTGGACACCGCTTGCCAGGCTTTTTTTCAAATCGCTAAGCTCCTGGGCAGTTTGCCTCGCCACTGATGCACTTAGACCGAAGTATTGCTGCAGATCACTGGCAGTCACTGGCGAATCCGAGAAATTAGTATTTGCTTTTAGGTATACGAATTTTTTCGAATTGTTCTGAGTATCCGGAGTTATTTCCAAGGCCAGGATGATTTCTTTACCGTACTTTTGCTGAATCTGGGCCACCGTTCGCCACCAGCTGAAATTGGAGGAGTTCCATTGGGCACCAATCAAAGCAGGCAGTGCCCCGTACTCCTGAATAACGTTCTCCAGAGCCAGTTTGTAGTGGACGTCATTGCGATCTACCAAATTACAGGACTGATAGAAGTGCTGTATCTTTTTCTCCAGCTCGCTTTTCGGCTCGTTGGAACGTATCAAGCGCAACCAGCGCCGGTCAAATCCTTTTGATATTCGTTGGAACGTACTTGTTTGGATGTCACCATATAGTTGGGCTGGATTATGGCGATGCCAGTTCCCGCAGGCATGGGTGTAGAAGTCATCGCAGGGTGATATCTCCGGTCTCATCATGGCCTTGATGTCGGCCACTTTCGCTTGATGGATGATTCGCTTGGCGTACTCCGAGGTCAAGTCATCGGCGAAAGGGTCGTTCTCATCCGATGGCTGGGCCATTATTGGAACTATTGCCACAAACAGGCAGAGCCACAAAACCCGACTCGTCATGACCAAACGCTAAATTCAACTAATTTTCGATTGTTCCCGATCTGCGACGGCCACCTTATCAGCGGAACTTGTTTATACAATGTCAAGAGTACTGGGGTAGGTCAAATTATTATCTCCAGCCGGCCCTAATACGATTTTTGATAGTCAGGTACAGTGGGTATTATAAGAGTTATGCTCTGTACTAATCCAATAATTAAATTACCCTTGTACATATTTTCAAATCTCACTGAAGTAAAATTTAATATATATTCCAGTTTAAATAACACTATTTAAGGCCATGGATTAAGTATTTCATTATTTCGATAATAATGTCGTTATTATACCCTGGCAGAGGGTATTCAATTTCCGACCCTATAAGTAGCTAGCTATGCCCGTCTGTCCGCCCGTCCGTTTCCGCAAACTAGTCCCTCAGTTTTAAATTATCTGCTTGAAACTTTCCCAAAAGTTGTCTTTCTATTGCAGGTAGTCGGAACGAGCCGTATAGCTCCCGTAGGAACAATCGGAAAAAAGAAATTAAACTTTGTTGTTTTAAATTATTTTATGGAATTACGGTTTTTTATAAATTAAAGTCGAACAACAAAATCATATAGCTGCCATAGAAACGATGTCAAAATGTAGCGCAAAATCGACATAGCTTCATTGTTTGTAGTAATATAGGCATAGAAATCGGAATGTAGTCGATTTGTAATAACTGCAAGTGTATATAAGCTTCGGCTTGCCGAAGTTTGCTTTCTTTCTTTTTTAGAATGCTGTTTCTCATTTCCGTATCCGAGGCTTTAGCCAATTTTATAACCATTTTCATTTTAAATTTATAATATATTTTCCATTTCCGATTTCTCAAATTCTAGATAATAAAGTAAAAGTTGTATTATTGTTTGCGGTGTAGTCTGTTAGTCTGCTGGTCTTCTTGGATGCTTGACACATTGCCAGACGATCCTTGCAGCGGATGATTCAAAAATTTAAAACACTTTTTTGGTTATATTTACCGGTTTAGTACATTAGAGAGTGCTCTGCTCTCCTCGGCGAAGTCCTTGCCAAAGGATGGGGCAAGGCAGAGAAAGCAAAAGGGAAAACGGCACACACTCATTCATAAACATGGAGTCCTGCTCCTGGTTTCTCCCGCTTCTGCCAACTCAGCCAGTTGAGTTTTTCCAGTTGCACTTTTCACTGCTCCTAGTTCACACTGTTTCCTAACCCCATCCCCTCGTCCATTCGTCCTTTCGTCCTGCTGGCAAGTGGAAAGTGCTTACATTTTTCTGGCAGCGGAAATGCATATTGCTTCCGGCCTTTTATTCATTTCCCCTTTGCATTTTTTGCGCATTTGCCTCTGCTTTTGCTCCAGCTCCAGCTCCTGGGCCAACTATTGCCTGCGATCCTAGTTTTGTTTTGGGGGACTGGGCTTCAGGATTCAGGTTTCGGGAGCCCCGTCGTGGGGCTCTTTACAAATTTTTATGCTGCGGTCATGCCAAAATGCATTGTAAATGGAGGGAGGTGTGTGTTCGTTTGTGTGTCGGTATGTCTGCCTCAGTGTAAATAAGTTTTGAGTTTGTCTTTCGCTGATGTCGACCGCACACGGACCTCCTTTCACTCTCTCCGCCTTTGGAAGGCCAGTGCGAAGAATCAGCGGCAAAAAACTGCAGATTGTTATGGCTGTCAGGACCCGGACTGGGCTACACCACACTGACCGAAATATGCTTTGCTTTTACATAAATTTAATACAATACAAATCAATACATTCATGTACCTCACAAATAAACAGTTTCAAAACATATGCAATGAGAATGTCAAATAACTGGTAAAATATATTCAAACTTAAATATGTGAGCTTGTTTTAAATTTATAAGACCATTTTAATATTACACATTTTTGTGGTCTTTTTATTTTCCATGGAAAAGTTATTGTGAAGAAACAAGCGAGTATCCTTTTTCCAGTTGAAAATAAAAAAGAGAACAATAAAGGGAAATAAGACATTCCTCACCTTTTGGTTTTCTTTGAAGCCCATTTTTAAAATACCAACATTCACATTACCAACGCCATATCCAGTTCTTAAACAACATGACCCGTACATTTCGTTTTATGGTGGTCTAATTTAAATTTTTGCAGTGCAGCACGGTTTCAGTGCCAAATTTCACACACAGATACTGAGCGGTTTTCCCTAGCTTTTTTCGTCTTTTCCTTCTTTTTTTTTCGACTCGTTTTGCTCCTGACTGCTGATGATGTTTTTGTCGTTACGCTTTGTGTGGCATCGTTGGCTGGGGCTGATGTGTTTCTGCGGGTCAGGGGTCAGGGGTCAGCTGTGAGAGGGTATCGCCACGAAGCGAGTCTCCTCCTGCAGGCCATCATTCGAGAGTGCTACACTAGAATTAATCTTTGTCAAACGGCGTGGCTTTCGAGTCCAGATGAGAGCGCCCGCCACATGGCAATTGAGATACATTGACTAGCTGCCGGGCTGCACAAATCGAAGAGCCAATGCCAGGACCAGCTACGTGCACTATCTGCCGATCGAGTTGGACAGGCCTAAGCCGGCAATTCCGCATGCCTCTTACACGGCCAAAGCAACCCTTTTAGCCCATCCCCTCCTCCTTTGCAGCCAGCTCATATGCATAACGTTCTCTGAATTCCGCCCTTGCCAAAGGCCCAGCAAACAAATTTGCAACCAAAGTGCTTCGCTCCGTGCACATTGGCACATTTTTAATACACTCCAGTCCGGCAGGGTCTGCTTTTCTGCCTTTCTCCTTTCTGAGTGAGTAGGCGTGTGCCCAAAAAATATATGCACACGGAAAAATATTACTAGAAAACAAGAGGTATAAGTAATAAATAAATTATAAGAAATAAATTAACTATGAGAAAGTGATGAAAGTGAATGAAAAAATAAAATAATTAAAATGCGATTTTAATTTAATTGAGATATATACCATTTCCACCTTTGTATCCTTAAGTTGCGACCTATCAATTAATAAGTTTTCGAAATCTCCCATATATCATTCAGTAATCAAGGGATCCCCAAACTTTTTCCTTCACGGTGTGCTGTTCTCAGTAAGTAAGTCTAATCTCGTTCCGCACACAGACTCGCCTTCGCCTCGCAGTAACACGTGTCTGGTAGTTTTCAAGTGCTTGCAGCTTGATTTGATGTAATTTATTGAAAATTTATACAAATTTGTGCTTGTCTTTGCACAATAGCCCTCGTGCCCGAGTCCCAGACTCCTAGACTGCCGTCCCCATCGAAAGTCTTCGGCGACCCACAGCTGAACTCGTTTGTACTCTGTTATTGGCAAAAACTCGAACGGAGAGGGAGTCTTGTGCATGTGGGTCACGTAGCCATGTGACTTATACGAAATGCAAATGAAATAGTATATTCGGTGGGCGGTGGTGAGTCCTGTGCCACGGGTGCAAGTGGCAAACTGCCCACATTCGCCGGGCCGAAAGAGTCCGGTTGCCGTGTCCGTGGACACTTTGTGTGCCATGGCCATAGAATTCCAAATCCATGCCAGCAGCTGTAATAGAATTGGTTTTGTGCTCTCCTTCTCGTGCTTTTTTCTTGCTTGCATAAGATAAATGTGCGAATTTGCGCCAAGTGAAAGTGTTTTTGATAAATGTGCGAGGCACTATACAGCTCCAATCGTAAATCGTGGCATCGAAGGACGCGCCCAGTGATCCTTTGATTATTCAACAACAACGGCCGGAGGTCCTTTAAAGAACTCGCAGCGAGTGTTTTCTGCCGATTTCCCGACTCCATGACTACGCCAGCTTCCCATTGTCCGCCGTTTGATATTTTTGCCATCCACACTTGTCCAGTTCCGTGTTCCATGGTCCTTCGTCCTTCGTCCTCCCACTCGCCTGCTTTATGATTTCGTTTGATTGTTTGGTTGTTGGCGCTACTTTGTTGCTATTCTGCGTTTGAGCCAACCCAGCTGACTGTCTGCAACTTTGCTGATTTCATTGCTTGATTTCCTCTCGTTGATTCCCTGCCAAAGGATCCATAAATCATTGGATAGCTTAAAATATTTTAGTTCTTTGAACTTAAACTCCTCAGCGATGCGATTTATGCCAAAGTTATAAGCTATCTTTGCAACATATATTAGCTGTTTAATTTTGTTTTTAATAAGAGAGTAGCTTTTAAAACGATTTTTTCGATTATATTTATTTAATCGTTTTATTGCTTTAAACGTGATAATCTTAAAGATAGAACTGCAGTAAGGGTATTTTTCATACCTGCCCTGAGGAACCCAAATTCCGTTCTTAGTTTCCTGCGTTATTTTCCTTTTATTTTCCACTTCAATTTCGTTAAGTTTTGCGCTTCTGGTGTCTGTCTTGGCTTTTCCTTGGCAGATACGTGTGGGTTTACGCTCGGACTCCATAATAGAATTATTTGTATCAAATTGTGGCAACCAAAAAAATGAAATGAAAGTGGAGCAGCCGCAGAAAAGAAGACCACCAGCACCGGCAGCGGCAACACCAACGCACTCTAACACAATTGGAAACTTGCACAAAGGCATTTTTATTCGCCTATGCCCAGAAAGCAGCGCCCGGAATTGAATTAAAAGTTGCCATTTTTTGCCCGCCCCTTCCTTCCTTCCTTTTTGGCTGGCTGGCTGGCTTATCTGGGCCGCAAACATTCTGGGCTCCCCTTTGGCTTTCATTGGCAAAAAGTGTTGAGCTGTGAAAGTTGGCTCGCTGGCGCAGGGCGAAAGTAATTCTGAAGATTCCCAGGCAACTGCTGCTGCTTCTGCTGCAGTGACAAATGAACTCGGGTCGGGGTCACCGTGGAATCTGGAGCATATCTGGAGCATAACTATTCGATTTTGGCATGCGAATGCAATCAGCACCTGGCCGCATTCCCTCGCCGCTCCTGTGTTGCTGTCGTTATGACACGAGAAGCTTTTGTGATCAATATGTTTTTCGAGAGCCCCACCTGCCACGCCTTGCAATTTGTTAGCATCATGGAGGGGAGGGGGTTCGGAGGTCTACTCCTTGTCCCACAGATAGCAACTGCTGACAGG